CTACCTGTGCTACGGATGTTCGTTTAGCGGTGTTCCGCTAGCTGTATGTTAGATCGGATATGTGGATATAAGTCGGCTGTCCGCTTGACCAATGTCACTCAGCTAGATGCCTTGTCTTAACACACTTACGTTATGTTAGCATGTTTAGTGATCACTGTACTTGGTGGCTGTTGCCCTTTGCAACTACTGTTTCAAACACCGGATTGATTGATGACTAATTTGATGTTGTAATACACAGTATAGTTGTTACGATCACACTGTAACAATACGCAGTATAATTGTTACGCTCACACTGTAACAATGTGTAGTATAGCTGTTACGATCACACTGTAATAATACGCGGCATAGTTGTTATGATGCCACTGTAACGATACGTGGTATAGTTGTTATGATGATACTGTAACGATAACTAATTTCGACACGTTACCCAGTGGCGAATTTGGCCATCCTTACACAGAAAAACTGTACTTGAAATTTCTACACATTTTCTTGAGGTACATTTCGACACAGCAACTGGTGTTACCACAGATGATGGCTGTATAGCGGCCTTGACCCAGTCCCCCACTTACGTCAACTCTGCAGCCCCGCTTTGAGCTTTGAAGTTTAACTGGTCCAACTGGCCGGGTTTTTGGTCACTACACTGACCCTGTTTGTCGTTGCTTGTTCTGACCAAATAAATTTTGATTAACAACTGCTGTTACCTCAGACGATTACTGGAAATCGACCTTGACACAGAACGCCACTTACATTGACTGTTCAGCTCCGTTATTAGCTGTCGAGTTCAATTGGTCCAATCCGCTGTGTTTTCAGTGATGTTCCGGTTATCTTCTGTCGTTGTTTTTTGTCCCGGATGTGTCCGTTTTAGAGCCTCCACTTGTAATGTGCTCATCTAGGGGCATGTATTGTTTACATTGCTTTCAGACGAACAGTGAGTTGAAACGACACAGCATGAACGAATATTGAGTTCTTTGCTTTTATTCGTTGAATCGCCAGTTATCGCAAACATACATTCATGCTTCCTCGTGCTCGACTTGCTTGGCTGAATCTAGCGACCTGGACGGACTTCCCACACACTACAGGAATTTATCAGCGCCTCTCGAACCATCCATCTATACTTCATGGACTCTGATATCTGACATTACGACGTATGGAAAAACATTCAGTCCTCCTATTGAAATATAAAGTTCACTTGACAAATCATTTATTCTTCTCAGGCGTTCATTCACGCGTCCTCTCTCAGTCAGGGCAGAACTTCAACTGTCTTACTTCAGTCTCTCGGTTCACGTCTTCCGTTCACGTCTCATGCTTTTCTTGTGTCTCTCACTTCGTTTACCATGAGACACACGAGACTCACTTCTCCCGTTTTCTCTTCTCTCACGGGTCCTCCGACCTTTTTCTCCCCATCGGGAACTCTCTGGGGTTTCCCCGGGAATTCACAACATTACACTCGATCTTTATCCGACAATAAATTTCTGTAGGTTTAAGCCTTTTTCTGATTAGAAAAAATAAATAAATAAACGGATAATAAAACGCTGCTCCTCTGTGGTATATGTCAAAAATGGAACGGCTATCTTCAAACTGTCATTAGGACGTTACCATGTTCGTCTGTACTGTAATATCAGTGCTTAACACTCTTGACATCCCAAACAACAATACTGACAGGTTACAAGACAATGGCATGGCTATTGTAATTTCTATCACAATTTTAAAGTTTTAATTTGAAGCCATATTCGTATATACCAATGTTTCCCCAAACAGGCGCTACCGCCCTCCTGGGGGTGCTGGGACGGTCTAGGGGCGTTACCGGCCTAAATCCAATTAAAGGGTGGGTTAGTTGGCTTCAGGTGAGATTGGGTTGCATCAAATTAAAATGAGAATGGTAGAGGGAGAGAGAGAGAGAGAGAGAGAGAGAGAGAGAGAGAGAGAGAGAGAGAGAGAGAGAGAGAGAGAGAGAGAGAGAGAGAGAGAGAGAGAGATAAACTGAGCTATAACCCATTTTGATAAGCCGCTAGTTAATTAAAGGTCCATTCCCCACTCCTTTAGGCTAGACCTAAAGTTTTATAGACCAATCAGCACAAGATGAGTAATGTGATCAGCATTACGCCGGCCACCTTAAGTCCCGGGACTGCACCCAATACCCACTCAATGCTGGGTCGACCTGGGGGTCAAGGTCATTTTTTTTTTTTGAAAAATGTCCGGCTCCCAAGTGAACGAACCCACAACTTTCCGATCCGCACGCGAGCGTCTAGCCGCTACGCCACGCGACTACCGATAAGCCGCTAGTACCTTTCTCAATGTAGTTGAGCAGACTGCAGTGGCTGCCTAGTGTTGAAAATATGAAGAAAATAATTGTTACAATCAAACATGTTCGTCTGTCTCATCAATATTATTGAATGTGTTATTCTTTGGTTTCATGTGAATATCCCTGTGCTTCGTCATTGAGTAGAAAAATGGCCAGAGCAGAAAACTTCTAAAAACAGCAGTTTCTTTCAGAGTGTATTTTAATAAGAGACTTGAGTTCCTCTGCCAACAACTTGACACTGTTAAAATAGATAGCCACAAGTTGTACTGGCCGTTTAGCTGTTTAATCAGTAAAACATAGAGGATGGATTAAAAAGGTAAAGTCGGGAGATGTGAACCAGCGTCATTGCACACGGTTATAAACCATAAGTGTTCTGCCACCAGTACAGACAGATGATAAGAATTGTCCGCCTGGGTCGCCGTCCGAACGTAACTCTGTGGCTACAGCGAGGTTCCTCCATTTACCCCAGCGTTTCAACTCTGGTACCCATTTCCTAGAGGCTGGGTGAACCCCGGGAGACGCCCGGTTTCGAACACCGAACGTGGGCTGCAGTGAGTCGCAGCTGGATTTGAAAGCGAGCCTCTTATCGACTGCGCTAACGCGGCCCCCTTTTAGAGGACGGATTTCCATGGCGAGGTGGCCAAGCCATTTGCCTCGCGCTCTGAAAGTCATGGGTTCGTTTCATAGCGCACCTTTTAGTTCAATATTTACGGAGATTTCTGGGGATCGGTGCCGGAGCTGCGAAGGTCGTGCTCTGTGAGAATGTCAGAGTGCAACATTCTGTGATAACAGAGACAATAGTGTCGACTACTGTTTTACGGTAGCTCAGTACTAACCCAAACAAAGCTCACGGGAGCAGTTTATTGTCTCTAATTCACACAAAGCAACAATATACCTAATGGTAGAAAATCGACTAGTATCTTAGATACAACCATGTTTTTTTTTTTTTTAAATAGACAGCAGTCAGCAAAATCCAATCAACAGGCACGATTTTTTATTCACTGAAAAAGGATTAGGACCAAGTCACTTATTGGCTCGCCGGTAGACGACTTCGTCTCCGCTCAGAACAGCATCTGGGCCTGTCTCCTTTGATCGCATCTACACTGCAAGTGTCCTTTTCAGGGCTCATGGTGGTGTGCATTGCTGGGCCATTTTATATGGCGCACGTAATTTGATCCCAATTATAACCTAAAGCGCCCCTTTCAGGGATGCTGGCTGAACGTGACTTTTTTGTCCCCCTAGCAAAGCACTCACCTACCGCTGTGAAATGGTGCGGTGTGACAAAACAAGTTCGGGGAACACTGGTATATACAGTAAGATACGCCGCTTGGTGAAATTAAAAAAAACAATTTACTAAGGGTGCAGGTATCAACCCCACCCCCCCCCCACACCCATCCCCCCCACCCCCCGCTCGTCTGTGGATCCAAAGTCGTGTGCTCAGGCTCACAAAGCCGGACTTTTTTTTTTTCTTCTTCAAATAACCTTGGCTTCCAGCTAGACCCAGCCTTCAATGTGTGCCGTGCAGTCCTGGGAAGTCAAGGCGATCGGCATGATGTTGACCATTTCACCCACTAAGTGCCGATTGGTCTACAAAATATAGGTCTAGCCCTATATGCCCAATAAGCCTAAAGGCGTGGGAAAGGGTTCTGTACTTTCCTTTTAAAACTTGAACGCGCTACAGGCAGAATAATTCTTAGCGCTTTTTTCTTCAGCATTACAGCAATAGATACTTTATAATGAGTACCAGCAATTCTTCTATGGATACTTTTGATCCTGTTCACGTTTCCCGACCCATCTACCTGACCTTTCATTCATACTTTCTTAGACCCTTCTACGTCGGAGGGGTGTCACGTTGTCTTCCCTCCAATCACATCAACGTTGATGTCGCGTGTTCTATACTACACGACGACACAGCTTTCCACAGCCCCAGAACATAAATAACTGGCCATAACCCAAACCCTCCTACCCACAGCCTCAACCTGGTTCACACGAGAGACTCTTTCGAAGAAAGCAGTACAACGTGACACTCCTCTGAACTAGAACAGACTGAGAAAGTGTGTAGATGCGCCGGGAAACGTGAACAGGTCCGTACTTTTAGTTGAGTACCGGTACTTTTTTTTTTTGGCTGAGAAATAAAAATTAAGGCGCCATTGCAGTGACAGTTAATGGTTTGCTAACTGCTCCAGGATATTGAGAAGGCAGGCCTCCATCAGCGAGCACATTTGGCCGATCACACAGACGCTGGCCTGCTAATGGTCCCCAGAATATGAAACATCAGGTTACGGATGGACCGAACAATCCGGGAACCACTCAAGTGTGACAGCTCACCTCTTCTGGCTTGTGAGCGCAGTAACCATCAGAGTGCAATGACTGGGCACGTGCTGGCTAGCGAGTGAGAAAATTCGCTGAGATGTATAGCTGTGTGTGGGTTCCGGAACTCCATTTGGGGTTGGAAAGGGGGGGGGGGGGCGGGTACGAAAAGATTCACTGGCCTATCAAGCATTTCGTAAAAGGCGACTAATTAGGCGTGCTTTCTTCGAAGTCGGGTTGCATCTGAAAGGCATGGAGTCAATAGTTTGTATACATGGACTTTTAATTGAGCGGGGAATATATCGTTTTTTGTTTGTTTTCTTTCTTGCCCCATTAATTAATATATCCATTTCCAACCACATATGCCTATATTGTTTGTGTTCCCCAGACTGAGCACTAGCAGATGTGCCGGCTGTCATCAAACCATACCTCCCCAGGAACTGGTCATGAAAGTGGACAACAACCACATCTTCCATCTTCCGTGTTTCTGCTGTGTCGTCTGCCGGCAGCTTCTACAGAAAGGTCAGCAGTTTGTGGTCAAGGACGGGCAGCTCCTCTGTCGTCAGCATTACGAAACGGAGTTCATCTTCTGTCCAGTAAGCCCAACAAGTAAGCTGTATATATGTAGCCCGGCTCTCTAGCGTAGTTGGCTAAACCGGATTGCGCGGTGACCGAGTGACGAACTCCTTGTGATCCGGGTTCACTCCCGGGGGTAGGCAGAAAAGCCACATTTCTCCCAGATTTACGGCATTTACAATGGAATCAAGGCCGAAAAGTTGCGATATCCAAAATACCGAGCCGAAGGGTTAACAACTCATGGCTTCTGGATACTAAAAGAAACAAACATGTATATATGTATGCACAACACTCACACACATATATATGTATATACTTATATACATTAAGATAATAGGCACTTCAAAAATGAGCATCACAGTTAATGGGACAGACGTCAAACAAGTTGATGAGTTTAAATATGTGGTGTAATAGAGGCCATAACTGGGGTGTTAGAGATAAAACTGTGAGGGCAGTTCAATCCCCTGGGAGTTTAAAAGAAACTGTGTTGGCAAATCAGAAGGAGACAATCTACATTCTTTAGTCATACCACGAGAAGGAGAAAACTGGATACATAGTAACCATGAGAAACTTGGAGGAGAAGAGGCAGGGGGAGACCAAGAGAGAATATTCTTAACAGTAATATATAATTTTTTAATATATTCTTTTTATTTAGCCTCCGCTACGCTCAGTTCTATTATTGTTATTTCTATTTTCTTTTTCTTATTACACCGCTCTTTAAGTAGGATAATCCCTCCTTGGGTCCAACCCATAATTATGAAATTTGTAAAGCGGAAGGAGGGGGCAGGAGACCCCCGCTATTTTCTTAGTTTTGGCCAGTCAGACCCTTCCCCCCCCCCAACCCCTCTTTTTTTCCATCACCACTCTCTTATTAGGGGAATCGCCATGGCGTTGGCGGCTAGACACCCGCATGCGGATCGGAAGGTCGTGAGTTCGCGCCCTGACGGAACCGGACTTGGAAAATAAAATGACATTGACTCCCAAGTTGACCCAGCTTTGAGTGGGTATCAGATGCAGTCCTGGGAAGTAAAGGCGGCCAGCGTGACGCTGAACACACCACCCACCAAGTGCCGATTGGTCTTTAGAAAGATAGGTCCAGCCCTATATTTTCAACACGATTAAAGGCGTGGAAAAAAGTCCTTTACTTATTTTCCCTCTCATAAAAGGTTTGTTCACAAGCATTAGCGCCCGGCCACAAGACCACAGATGCGAGCCACCAGGCCAGCTTGGCTCTTTCCTTATAACATTCTATTTCAGTGGTGTAGTTGTTAAGGCTGCTTACCTTCAGATGTTAAAGTTGCGAGTCAGGACTACTCTTTATTTACACAGCCAGTTTTGTTGTTGTTGTTGTTTTTTTTTTTTTTTTTTAGATCACCTGGAAGTGTTGCTGTAGCTACGGGTTCATATTTGTCGGTGGGTGGGGGAGCATTTGCACAGGAGGATCGAGGTATATGAGTTTTTTTGTGTAAAGTTGACGAGGACGACTAAGAAGAAGAAGAAGAAAAAGAAGAAGAAGAAGAAGAAGAAGAAGAAGAAGAAGAAGAAGAAGAAGAAGAAGAAGAAGAAGAAGAAGAAGAAGAAGAAGAAGAAGAAAAAAAGAAAAAAAAACAGAAAAGACTGTGACGATAATGATGGTGATGAAATCTATTTGTGAAATAGTTCACTTCGCTGCGCATTTAGCATCTCGTCACAATACTCTCCACATGGTCCTTAAATGACAGGCTCCTGTCAACTTAATTAATAAAAGCCATCTGTCATATTTCGTAGCAAATGTAATGAATGCCACGTACGAATTCCTCCATGCAAACTTTCATGTCATCTGTAAAAGAATTCAAGACTATGTTAATATGAGAATTGTCTGTAGGCGATACTAGTGACTGTTGCTATGACGACGCTGACAACGATGAACTGGACAGTACCAAGGGTCCTAAACGGCCACGGACGATTCTGACTACCGGTCAAAGGCGAAAGTTCAAGGCCTCATTTGAAATGAATCCAAAACCATGTAGAAAGGTAAGGTCTCTCTCTCTCTCTCTCTTTGTCTCTCTGCGTGTGTGTGTTTGTGTGTCTTTCTATCTCTCTCTCTCTCTCTCTCTCTCTCTCTCTCTCTCTCTCTCTCTCTCTCTCTCACTTTCCTTATTACTCCGCGTGGGCCTATATGTGTGTGTCTAATCTCTCTTATCTTTCGCTATCATTTTTCATCTCGCCCATCTCTCTTTCTCTCTCTTTCACACACACAAACACACACACAGAGACACTCGCGCGAACATACCCACACAATTAGAAACTATTGGAATAATTTATGAGTACAGATTATACGCCTGTTTAAAAGATAAAAGTATTTTGAACATAGCGTATATTTACTCTTGATGGATAAGTTGCTGTGATTTAGTCATTATGGCAACTAATTGCAGATCTGAGGACCAACATTGACTTGCTATCTCAGGAAGTAGAATTTGTCCTGAATTGGATACAAACCAACTTTGGTATCCAATCGGCGTCCGTAGCTTAGGCGTTGCGAATCTGACTCGTAATTCCAACGTACCGCTATCGAAACCCAGTGCTGGCTGCGTGGACTTTTATCATGGTAGGGGGAGTCGCAGGTCGACTCAGCTTAAAATGGGTAATTGGATGGATGTCCTAGAGAAGTAAAGACGGCAGGCGTAATACTCACAACATTAACCACCTAGTGCTGATTGGTCTCTAAAAATATGGGTGCTCTTCCCATATGGCCGATGAGCCTGAAGGCATGACAAAGGATATTTAATTTAAATTCAAGGAAATGAGAGAGCAGATGATTTGGCAAAAGCTGGAAGTATTCTTCCACAACCCCATTCAGCACAGAGCTACAGGATAGTTAGTTTTGTATTCTTTACAGGACGTTGCAGAGCCAACATAACAGCCCCTCGCTGTTGCTTGGTTTTTCTAGACAAATTTACGTCCAGTAATTCGCCATTGCTTTCTGTACGGTCGGCTTTCTAGATACCACTGTCGAAACCAACGCAACGCGCATGGCCTGCAGTTGGGATCGAACCTGGCATCCCGGCATTACGAAGCGTTCGCCTCGACTTAGCCACACAGCTACAAGGAAACCAAAAGAGCCCTCAAGCAGTCTTTCAAGGGAAAGTGGAGAAGCCAGAAAGGAGACTACAGACCAGAGAGTGATAGTATAAACAAACTCAACAGGAAAGAACAAACATCAATTTTTAGGCTTCTGACATGACAGTGTGGTCTTAGAGCCACCCGCACAGAATAGGCATAAAAGCATCTGCTGCCTGTGATTGTGGGGCAGAAAGACAGACACCGGAGCACATACTACCCAGGACTGCCCTAACTACGCCAAGTAAAGACCGGATCTGGCCCAAGGGTTCTACACTAAAAGAGAAGCTATGGGGAACCAGTGGCGACCCCAAGCGCACAACCCTATTTGCAACCCAGACGGGACTAAATGTCTAGGAGGCATAACTCGAGTGCATGATCGAGTGCAATATTAAGATAATGTCGATGATGTGTATTATCACCTTTTAAAAGATGAGTAAATGAAATGATGTATGAAACGAGTGAGATGAGAAGCTGTATATTAGACAGGTCTGCCACACAATTCTTAAGCCTTTAGGGAAAAGAGAATGCCCTCTCCCTCACTCTTTTTATCTCTCTTGCTCTCTCTCTCTCTCTCTCTCTCTCTCTCTCTCTCTCTGTGTGTGTGTGTGTGTGTGTGAGTGTATGTGTCTTTTACTCAGTCTCTCTCTCTCTCTCTCTCTCTCTCTCTCTCTCTCTCTCTCTCTCGTTCTCTCTATATATCTCTCTCTTGTCTTCGTCGGAAAGACAGTTTAACTGACAAACTGAGACAGAAAGGATACAAAACAAATGCAATCAAGTCGAACCGCACACCAATATTTATAACCCCAAGCCACATCAGTACACTTGCAAAGTAATCTGACCAAAATGTTGTTGTGTGTTTGCATTCACAAAGCGTAAACCCCGGTGGAAAGTCATGGGTGTTCGTCATTTCTAGACTATGGCTTTGTCCAAGGACCTGCGTTTTATGTGTGCACCCGTTTTGCAGATCTGGCCTAACTGTTTGCAGTTAGTTGGTTCCCTGCGGATGCACTTACCATAATTAAATTAGCCCACTCTTACGACATGCTTGTTAGGGAGGCAGTGGGTCTTTTCTTAGCCCCCCCTCCCCTCCCCCAACCAGCCACTATAGGGCCCCGAAACCCACACGGGGATCTTATTAAACCGACCACGACATTTTAACCATGTACCTCGAAATAGTTTTGGAAGTGTGAAGTCGGTGTGAAGTGACCACATCAAGGATACCATAAAATGAGGGCTTAAGGACACTGAGCGCCACCTCCTCCCCCGCCCCGAAAAAAATATATACAAAAGGGGGATTATACTGCTACCCCTAGAACATGTGTATTTGATCTATGCCCCCCCCTCCCCACCACTCTTTTCCGTCTCGTAATCACGCATCTGCTTCTGTGGCTTAGGCTTTGCGAACGCGCTTCGTTTGTCGGTTTGCCGAGTTCGATCCCAGCTACGGGCCTTGTGCATTTCCAATTCTAATTCCTTTACAGGAAACAATCAAAAACGCAACCTCGTTTAAACTGCTGCTAGCTAGCCGAAGCTCCCAACAGTCTCTGGCTGTATTTGTGGTCTTGTTAATTTGCGTTAGAACAAGAGCTGACATCACAGACTGGTTCCCAGTAACATCAGGAGTAAGACAAGGTTGTGTATTATCACCTTTACTTTTCATAATATTTATGGACAATATTAATAAAATAGACATAACACCAACAGATGTCGATAAACAGGAGGACTTCAATGAGCTGCTCTTTGCCGACGATCAATGCATATTTCACAGTGATAGTAAACAGCTGCAAGACCACATAAACCTACTACACGACAGTTGCCTCAAGCATCATATGAAGATCAATACTGAAAAGACAGAAGTCATGAGCATAAGTAGAGAGCAACAGACCATCGACACAAAGATTCTAGATCACAGCCTAAAACAAGTGCAAGAATTTAAATACTTGGGAAGTATCTTTACATCCAATGGTAAAATAGACAGAGAGATCGAAGCAAGAATCCAACAAGCCAACAATGTCGCATACCAGCTTGCCCCAATTTTAAAACACCCTGCTGTCCCAGCTAAGATAAAAAAAGACAAATTATAAATACAATCTTTATACCGACATTAGGTTATCAATGTCAGACTTGGACATTAACAAAAGAACACGAGAGAAGACTAACCACCTGTGAAATGAGATGTTTGAGAATGGCTGCGAATAAAACCAGAAGAGATCGAGTGAGAAACGATGTGATTACAAGAACTATTGGAACCATACCCATCGTTAAATTTATTGAGAAGCAAAGAATGAAATGGTTTGGTCACCTAATGAGAATGGAACCAACGATGCCAGCATCAAGAGCATACAACATGAAAATCGAAACACCAAGAGGCAGGGGAAGACCAAGAAGAAGATGGATTGAAGGAGTCACGGACAACTTGAGACTTCATAACATCACGGCATATGAAGCGACTGAGCGCGCCCTGGCTCGGTTGCCGATCATCTGATAGACTGCGACGCCTAGCGGCACAAGCAGATTTTGACAAAAGAAAGAAGAAGAAGTTAATTTGCGCCACTTTCGTGGCTAAGTTCTGGTATTTTCGCCGACTCTGTGCTAAATGCTTCTTTCCTAAACGTTAGACCGCCATCATTTATAGTTTTAAAATTTTGAGTATTTTACTTTGCCGAAAAATACTGAAAACTGTTTTTGGGTTTGTATAGACCCAAAATGTGAAAATATTCCGCGTGTGACTATAGAGCAATGGCAAACTACTGGGCATAATTTTGCCTAGATAAACCACAACAGCCAAACAATTATGGGGTTGGTTCTGCAATGTCCTGTAAAGGATACGCAACTAATTTTTAATCACACATAAAGCTTCAATTTGTATTTGTGCTTTTACACAATTTATACTATTATACCATTATATATTGTTTATCGTTACACAATTTTTTTTTAAAATTCTACACATTCTTATTCGTTTTATGTTTTTAAACAAAGGCGAAGGTCCTTTGAAAAGACCTACAACAGAAAGGATCCCACCACTTTTCAATACAAAAAATTTTAAAACCTGAGGTATTTAAGATATAGTGTGTTGCCAGGTAGTGAGTGAGTTAAGAATTAAGACAGGCCGTTCTTGTGTGTCCCAGGTAAGAGAATCCCTGGCAGCGGAGACTGGCCTGACGGTCCGAGTGGTCCAGGTGTGGTTCCAGAACCAGCGAGCCAAGGTCAGTCTCAGTGTTGGACACAGCGACAGTCCCAGCTGTTTGCTGGACTTGCCTGTCTCTTGTTCTCCCAAGGAAGTGCTTGTCTACTGCATTTGTGTCTTTGTTTTTTGGATGCGTTCAGGCAATAATACATTTGGCATTTACTAAAACACGTAAATGCGATAGAAGGTAATAGAAACAGGGTATGCAGGTGTTGTTAGCAATGAAAGAGCTGATGAACTGGCAGGTTCCCCATTAACTACAGATGGCCAACCCATGTATCAACAGACATAGTTAACGCCGTTAGAGAGATAAGACGTTCTGAGGATTTTAGAAGCAAAGTGTCCGCATCACACCTAAGAATACGAGAACTGGGAGTAAAGATCGGCACAGCCAAGTATTAGAAGCACACCGGACGCACACGAAGTCTTGTCAACCAGCATAGGACTGGTACTATTAACCGCACGATGCTGATGAATATGTTAAAGTGGGAATCTAAGCGCCTATGGATGTGTCAGGAGTGCTGTGAAGAAAATCCAGCTCATAAGATAATGGATCGTACTAAGGTGTGCCACATACAACAAAGGCTACAGGCATAGAGTCTTTTTGTGTGGATTCCCGAGTCCCATGGTTGTAATAGGCGACTAATTAGGTGTGTTTTCATTGAAGTCGGACTGCGTCTGCTTGAGAGGATAGGAACCAACAGCCTGCACACAAAAGGCCAGATCAGTACAACGTATGTGCATGCAAATTTCAGTTTCTGGAACAAGATCAAAGTCCAGAAGTGGGCAAACAACCAGGACTTTCCGGTGGAGTTCACAGAAGTTGAATGTTAAGAAGTAGACGATATGAGTTAAGAACTCGAAATTATATCCTTTAGAAACCGAAGAGAAAAAAAAATAATTGGAGACATAAATACAAAAGAAGTGGAGAATTAGTGGTAAATAAAAACTGCAATCGTCATCATCATCATCATTATCATATGCCCTGACAATAAGCAAAGTCAGTAATGGTTCGCAAAACCACACGAATGCAAGAATCAAGCATTGTATCAGTGCTTCGTCCTGCCTCATCCATATGTCAAAGCTAATAGGATATTTATCTGTGTCTTCCCCTGGCTTTTTCCCCATCATTCATGTCAGTTGCCATAAACTCTGTTATATTCCTTCCCGTAAGATACCCAACAACACTGACTGGCTACGTATACTTTAGTAGGCGTCTCTGGCTTAGGTGTTGCAAACGCGCTTCGTAATGCCGGGGTGCTGGGTTCGATCACAGCTGCGGACGGTTTGTCTGGCGTTGGTTTCGACATGAGTTACTGAGATCCGACCGTCCAGAATAAATGGCAAACTACTGGACGTAAATTTGCCAAGAAAAATCACAACAGCCAAAAAAAAAAATTGTTGGGGTTGGTTCTAGATGTTGTCAAGGTCCTTTGGAAGCGAGTGAACAGTTCGGAAACACAAACAGATCTGAAGAGAATGGTGCATCAGGGATTGACGAGTGAAACTGGTCAACATTTACCATTCAAGGAAGAGGCAACAATCAGAATGCTACTGTATCATGGGAATTTGAACTTTGCACTGGCTTCTGAAGATGGGGTTGCAGCTATTATGGTAATATCTAAAGTTTAAAATAATTGCCTGTTACCTAAAGTATCAAAAGCCTGGGTCTGGCATGGTTAAAAAAAAAACAGTAGGATACAATAAGTTAGAGTAATTATCGGGAGGAAAGGGTTGACGTAACAGCTAGATAAATAAAAAGGAGTTAACGAGAAAGCATATAATCAGGAGTAACAATTAAACGCATGGTAAAACAATCGTGTTGGCACGATTATCAAAGTGCTACTTCATCAAAATGACACCTGTCTTCTGCGCTAAATGATTATTTCCAGACAGTCGCGTCTCGACACTGAGGAGAAATCGCGTTTTTAACATTGAGGGGGATCTGCGTTTCAACACTGATTAGAAACTTGCATTACAACCCCGAGGAGAACAATCGCATTTTAACACTAAGGATAAAAATTATGTTTTAACACTTAGGAAAAAATCGCATCTTAACCAGGAGGAGAAAACTGAGTTTTTAACACTAAGGAGAAAAATCAATTTTTAACACTGAGAAGAAAATCGCCTTTTAACACTGAGGAAATAACAAAAATTGTATATGTGCATAAAAAAGATACTTTATTATGACTTATGTGGAGTTAGAAAAAAAAAAGTCAAAACTGCCGTCAGGTGACTGGCGTAGATGTGAGATTGCGCCATATTTCACAAGTAGAAGGTAAAAAGGTAATCAGGTAATCACACTTCCAACTGTATAGCAAAACGGGTCACCCCACAATTGCTCTGTTTCTGTGCCAACGAAAACACCACAGAAAGTCTACAAGCGTCCGTCCCTTGTGGGGAAAATCACACACACACACGCACGCAGGCAACGCATGCATGCACGTACACACACAAGCACACACACACATACACGCGCGCACACACACTGCAGTCTCCGCAAAGCCAATAGCAACCATACGCACTGATTTCTACTGGTACCTTTCCGTCTTTCCAAACGATAGTGTTATGTTGTTTTATGTTATGGAGGTATGGGACTCACAGCCCATGGCGATGGGGAGTGTGACCAGCAGGACACGCCTACGTTAAGAAAATTGAAGCATGGAATTCCATGACAGTTGCTGTCAACATTTGTGTTTTGTTTATTTCTTCTCAAACGCTCAGCTCTCATCTTTTTTGCAATCACTGATTCATTTTCATTCCCTTTTTGATGTGTCCCCTCAGCACAATACGGCCCATGGCATTTTGTTCCCATGAGTCCACCTCAGTACCTGTATCATTCATGTGCTGCTTGCTCACTTTAGATCGTAGTAGAGGTCTGCCTAGACATCTTACACCCATCATTAATTCACCGTAGAGGATGTCCATATGAATTCTGCCATCCACTATTCTCCAGGTGTGACCCAGCCACATGAGCCTTTGTAGACTGAGAATTGATTAGACTGTTGTAATACTTGCTGTTTCCAATACCTTGGCATTTGTGATCTTGTCCTGCCACTTATGCCAAGCATTCTTATTATGCATCGCATGGGAAAGCTTTTTAGCCGTTTTTGCTGGTGCGAGCAAGTTGACCAAGGTTATCGGAATAAAGCAGAGTGCTGAATAATAATAATAAATAATACGGGCCATTGAGTTAACCGTATGTGTCGATTCCTCCCCACCAAATATATGGTTGACACATTCCGTTTCTGGGGACAGCTTTTATCGAGTTTGCTCTCTAGACAGTTGCAGTCCCCTGCTGACGAGATTCTGTCTTCCCGAGTGGACCGCCGCGATCAAAACATTGCGAAGGCAGCGTGGTCGAGGCTGCCAAAACTATCGGTCATTATCCCGCCCCGACACCGCACAACCACAATACACGCTGTTCCCACGAAAAACACATAATATCCTGCGTTGGAAATGCGCATAACAGTCCATGATTATGAAACAGAACAATCCGAGAGAATTGACAGCCAGCGAAAATAAACACAGCTGCTGTCCGCCATTTTGAAAACGGAAGTCCTAATAAATAATACAATAAATAAAGCAAGAACATAAAGAAAACGATTTTTTTAATGTTTCTAACAGGTGAAAAAATTAGAACGGAAACAAAATACAGAGAACAAGAACAAAGAGCACAACAAGATCAACAATAACAAAAAGTGTCAGGGAGCGAAGAGGGATCCAGGTAGACACAGCAATGAGACACACAAGTTCACAGACAACAAGCAGGAACAGGACAGTGACTTCGACTACTGTGCTGACAATCATAGCAGAGATGGCTTTGTGATTACTAGTCCTTGTAAGTGCTTGCATTGTGAAATCATAAGAACCGGGTTCGTATACTAAACTCGTCTACAATGATATGTGCATCAGCGGCTAATCAAGTTCTGTGAATGTATTTTTTTTACTACCCCCACCCTCGCCCCCTCTCCCCCTTTTCCAACTTTCTAGGATTGTGTTCTGTAGAATTATCATCTCAAGGATGAGAATCAGCATCACTCAGGTGCCGTCTCCACAGTTAAGGTTGGCTGTAATGGATCTCAAACATGCTTTGTCTCTTGTACTGATTGCACTCTCTCTCAGAACGCTGCCCGACCACTCTTGATGTTGTTTTCCCCACTTATATTGTTGCCTATCTCATGCTCTCTTACCTTCGTCCTTTCCCTTCAGTATGGTTTTTAAGAGTGTGTTATGTCTTTTAATCTAGCCAAAGTATTTCAATTGTCTCTTTTTTATTTATTTCAATAATTTATTTTTCATTTATAGCCTTTCCAGAACCTTTGTATTGGGCTGTTCTGTTTCAATGAAATACGACTAATTCTTCTGTATACCCACATCTCCAGAGACTCAACTTGATTTTCTAGAATGAGAATCAAACACGGACAAACACCGGAACCCCGTTCAATCATACAGCCATTCAGCACAGTTACAGTGGGACAGCACGTAACGTGCTTATCGGTTATAAATGTGTTCTGGTTTCTTTATGCCAATTATGTTGGCTAAGAAATGTCAACTGCACTAAAACTAGTGGCTTGGCGCGGCACCTCTGGCACCTAGACAGGATGGGGCTTCAAATAATGAAACATTGCGTTCCAAATGGGGAGCGTGTATGTGTTCTGTCTATATGAGCTACTATCCTATCAAGTAAGAAACCATGGATAAGTTAAAAAGAGAAGCAAGTAAATCCCAGCCAACCAAGATGAGGGAAGGCTCTTCAAATAAAAGAATGACACGGTGTGGAGTAAGCCGTAAGGAGTCGGGATCGATGACGTACCTCCTCTCAGCTAGGAAAACCTGCGGAATTGGCACCTGGAATGTTAACCCACAGGGGCATAGGAATAAAGGAAGGCCAAAAAACACACGGAGAAGAGAGCTGGAGAATGAAGTTAGAAAGATAGGGAGCACATGGGGAAAGCTCCATGCAATGGCGAAGGATAGAACGACTTGGCGTGGGTTGGTTGAGGGCCAATGCTCCATTGGGGGATAGAAAGACAGAAAAAGAAGAAGACGAATACGGACGGACCTCGACGAAACCGATTAGGCGTACATCTGCAGACCACGAAATGGGGATCGTCGTATAGAAGGAGCGAGTTTATTTGCAAGACAGGTTAAACAAAGAATTTGAGAAGAATAAACCTGCGAACATGATAGTTCGGGGTCAACACAATTTTTTTTAAAGTGGTCCCTACCCCCTGAAAGACACCCCACCCTCCCTTTTTCAGAAAACAAAATGTACAGAAGACAAAAAAAAAAAAAAAAAAAACAGAAGTATAAAGGACAACAATAATTGGGCTGACAAAATGACACAAGATAGACAAGATCGATCAGTCAGTTTGTCCCCCCTCCGATCTGCTACCTTTTTACCATACTATTTTGTGACAACAAAAATCTCAGTCTTGATTGCAGACTAACAAGGTAGATCACCGATGTCCCAATCAATCGCTAAAGAAGTTATCATCTGGAACAGTTCACCATCCAGGTGTAACTTGCAGTCCTATGTGGGTGAGGACCAGATAGGCAAGCGGACATACAAATAAAGTCAAGGTGTACTATCATTTTCCACCTCTTTGGGCGTATTGGGCATTTAGGGCTAGACCTATATTTTAAAGACCAATCGGCACTAGGTGGGTGATCTGGTCAGCATCCCGGCCGGTCGCATTTACCTTCCAGGACTATACCTGGTACCCACTCAAGGCTGTGTCGACCTGGGAGCCAGTGTCAGGACCCGAACGCACGACCTTCCGATCCGCAGGCTAGCGTCTAGCCGCTGTACCACGGTGGGTCCCGGACATTCACATACAAGTATGTGACTCAATTATATAAGAGCGAATGAAAAAGATTGTAAGAAATTCTGCATGGAAATCTCTGCTAATCAGACTGACTGTTACACTGTATTCCTCAGATATGTCCAGTTTACAAGATAGCCCATTCATGGACACTTTTTCTATGATCAACACAAGCTCACCAACAGGTTTCTGTCCCCATTTCTCCTGTTCTTCTGTGGTAGTTATATTTATTTGTGTTTTCTTTTTGGATTTTTTGTCAATTGACGTAAGAAGCGGCATTGATAGAGATCAACAGGGGGGAAAAGTGAATAGCAAATGATTAGAAAGCGCAGAATGAAACGGAATTATGAATATAATCGTAGCAAGAAGAAGAAGAAGAAGAAGAAGAAGCAGAAGAAGAAGAAGAAGAAGAAGAAGAAGAAGAAGAAGAAGAAGAAGAAGAAGAAGAAGAAGAAGAAGAAGAAGAAGAAGAAGAAGAAGAAGAAGAAGAAGAAGAAAAAGAAGAAAAAGAAGAAGAAGAAGAAGATCAACTTGCCCTATAGGCTCTTTCAAAAAATAACAGTATTTACTGAATAAACCATTAGACGGTGAAGGTTCTCCGGGATCAAGTGAAAAGCGCAACAGAAGTCACAGAGCATCCATATCTGGAGAGAGAATCATTCAACTGAAAATAATTTTCTGATAGCCCATTTATTTATCTCCAAAATAATAATTCATTAAATAATACATGTTGCAAATTAATTAAACTGTAGTTCAAAATGTTTATACATCTACTTGATAACAATTGTTAACAACGACCGGCCACGCCAGCCTCACAAAAACGGGAATTCCGTTTGAGCTGTATGCCCTTTTATCAGGAGCTGGCCGTGGTCCGACACAGGGTTCGCGTTGCAGCATTCGAACGGAGACTCGCTTTCAAATTCAGCTGCGACTCCCTGCAGCCTACGGCCGGTGTTCGAAACCGGATGGTTCCAGGCGTTTACCCAGCCTCTAGCTAGGAAATAGATACCAGAGTTAACACTCTGGGGTAGAAGGAGAAACGTCGCTGTAGTTACAGAGCTTCGTGCGGACGGCGACACAGGCGGACAGTTTATTTTCAGCTGTCAGTACTGGTGGCAGAGCACGTATGATTTATACCCGTGTGCAATGACGCTGGTTCATATCACCGACTTTACCTTTACTTTTACCGGTAAAACAGACAGACTGACTTACTTTCTACCCCACCAAGACATCACACAAGCGATAAACACCCGATGACACAAAGTGCCACCATGTGGATGAGAATCGCCGTGGAAAGGTCCCAGAAACCGCATTAAGACAATTGGCCATATTTATGGCCTGTCTATATTGCGGCCCCTGCCAAAAGCCAGGATGGGGGCTTCAAATAACAAAAAATTTCGTCCTAAAAAGGACAAAACTGAATATATGCTTTACCGGTAAAACAAACGTTAGTCTCCAATTTATACAGTGCTACATACTAGCTCACTTCTGACTGGTCGACCTTCAGCCTAGCTCACTTCTGATTGGTCAGCCTTCAGCCACGGTAACCTTGCCAAAAGGTTATGGTGGTTTCTCGCAATACCGTTGATATCGCGTATTGTATATTTCAGCACACCAGAGCTTTTCAATCAATCAGGTGCCGTCTCCACAATGAAGGTTGGATCTCCAACAAGCCCTGTCTCTTGCCCTTGATGTACACTCACTCATACTGCTGTTCGTCCATCTCTTGATGTTATCCTCCCACTTGTAACGCTGTCTGCCTTTTGCTCGCCTACCTTGAACCTTTCCCTCTAGGATGATCTTTACAATACTGTTATGTCTTTTAATGTGGCCAAAAAATTTCACTTGTCTCTTTTTTATTTCACCTAGCAACTCTCTTTTCATTCCCAATTTCCTCAGTACCTCTGTATTTGATAGCTTTTGTTTCCATGAAATACGACCTAATCTTCTGTATATCCACATCTCCAAAAAATTGATACGATTTTCCAGTTGTTTGTTCATTGTCCATGTCTCTGTGCCATACAGTAAGTTTGAGAATACATAACATTTGACAATTCTAATTTTTAATGTATTGCTTATTTCTCTTGATGTCAGTAACTTTAGCATGTTGTTGAAAATGTTTTTGGCCATCCCTATTCTTTTCTTGACTTCTGTTTCACTTCTGCCATCACATGTTATTACTTGTCCAAGATATAAGAAATTTTTAACTTGTTCCAATTTCACCCCGTTCACTGTGATATTCATTGTTAGCTGATTATTTTCTGTGCTAAATATCATGGTTTTTGACTTTTTCAAATTTATATCTAATCCAAATTCTGCACTCTTTCTGTTTACTTGCTCCACTAGGTCTTGCAACTCCTGCTCACTCTCTGCTAGCAACAATGCGTCGTCAGCATATCTCAGATTGTTTATTATTCTACCATTGATGTGCAGTCCTGGTAATTCTACAGAGCTTTTAGCACTCCGAAAACATCGACAAACTGGATCTAACACGAAATCCCTTTAGAGAGTGATGAAACCTATGTCACAGACATTCTCTTTCTCTGGAAAAAAACGTGAATGAAAGTAGCGGACACCAGTAACCAACAGGAAGGTAGATTAGCCAAACAAACTTATGAATGGAACGTGACCTACTTTGTTTGGGGAGACTAACGTTTGTTTAACCCTTTTACCGACACGCACTGGAATGATGTGCAGTAATGTCAATTATCGATTGACTCATTTATTCCTGAACGTGTCTGTTATGCTTATTTCATGCATGTTCATATTTCCACAGATTACTCTAGCCCAGACAACAGCAATTCATTTTACCCAGACATTGTGTTGGACATTAAAGATCGGATAGATCACCTTGACCTTCTGTTGTCGAACAGCCGAGGTCACGATCGTCAAAAAGTCGTAACCTCCGACCCTACTCCTATGGATAAACTATATTCAATGCAGATGTCATACTTTTGTTCAAAATAAAACGATTCTAAATATTCACAGCACCTGTGTTGATTGACGGTTTTAGAAAATAAAATAGTGTGAATGATAATGGACGCAGTATACCAGTGTTTTTCAACGTGGGGCCCACGTCCCACAATAAGCAGCTTGATTGATCAGGGGGAAATTTGTTAAGGGGAACCCTCGTCCAGAGTTTAAGTTACATAAGGCGGTCTAAGACTTTTGGAAAGGCTTTGGTGGTACATGGCACAACAAAGGTTGGGAAACACTGTACTATACTATATTTACACAACTTCTGAACGGACGAATACAAAATGCAATGAGAAAACTCAGGAAACAAAAAAAAGTAGCAAAAAGGGCGCTGGAACCTGTTATTATCAAGCTTTGAAACAGGTCTTTTGTCCTGTGAGCTCCCACCTTTTTTCTTTACAAAATGTATAAGAAGGCTGAGTGTTCCTTCCTTCCTTCCTTCACATCTTATTATCTATTAACCTGACGTTTGTCTCCATCCCACGTTTTCTTTCTTTCTTTCTTTCTTTCTTTCTTTCTTTCTTTCTTTCTTTCTTTCTTTCTTTCTTTCTTTCTTTCTTTCTTTCTTTCTTTCTTTCTTTCTTTCTTTCTTTCTTTCTTTCTTTCTTTCTTTCTTTCTTTCTTTCTTTCTTTCTTTCTTTCTTTCTTTCTTTCTTTCTTTCTTTCTTTCTTTCTTTCTTTCTTTCTTTCTTTCTTTCTTTCTTTCTTTCTTTCTTTCTTTCTTTCTTCAACTCTTACTGTCTTTAATTGTTACTGTCTTCTTCATTTTCATCATCATCATCATCATCATCTTCTTCTTCTTCCCCCTCCTTCTCCTCCTCCTTATTCAACTTCTTAGCGTTCACTGACTGTAAACTCCTTCGGAAAGGTCCGTTATTTCGTCCTTTTCTGGACGTTGAACTTGTTCCCGAACTTGGGTCTTGGGTGCACGTCTGTTTTACAGATCTGGCTTATTTCTGTGCATAATATTGGTTCCTTGCTTCTCAAGCAGATGCAATCGACTTTGAAGGAAACACCCCTAATTAGTCACCTCCTACATGCTTTTTTATTTTTAGTGAAGGGGGGCGGGGGGGGGGCGGGGGGGGGGGGGGGGGGGGTCTTTGCTTTTCCTCAAAAATAGAGCGCCGAAATCCACACATTTTCTTTACACCATCTTTCATTATTTATATTTCTTTATTGTGTGTGTGTGTGTGTGTGTGTGTGTGTGCGCGCGCGCGTCTGTGTGTGTGTTCTTTTTCCTTCACTCTTTTTTCCCGGGGGGGGGGGGGGGTGTTTGCGGGTCTGATTGATTTCATCATAATTTTATTATTTAAAATATGTTTTAGTATTTAAAAGTTATTTTATCTTTTTGCACAAATTTCTAGCTCGTGGTGTATTTCCTCGTTTGTTTGTTCCTGTTGTTGTGCGTGTACGGAACGGCGATGACTTCCTTTAAAGTAAATTGTCTGCTTGTCTATTTCTCTTGTATCCTAGAATGTAGAAGGGAGAGGGAAGCCGGACTTTTTTTTAAACATGACCTTAGCTCCCAGGTTGACCCAGCCTTGAATGGGTACTGGGTGCAGTCCTGGGAAGTGAAGGCGGCCGGCGTGATGCTGACTACTTCACCCATCTTGTGCCGATTGGTCAGTAAAATATAGGTCTGGCCCTATACGCCTAAGGGGAAAAGGGTCCTTCACTTTTAGAAGGCAGAGGAGGTAAAAAAAAAACCGTTATGGCCCTAAGTATAAACGGATTAAAGCGTGAATTGATTACAATAATTAATCACACGAGAATATCAAAAGCACCCATGTCGCGGATGTTGTCATCTGATCCCACAAAAAGCCTCCCGTTGTTGAAGTTTATCTTTTTTGTCTGGCTGAATTTTAATGGCGTGCTAAATTCGTCAAGTTTGATCTGTTAGATTAAGTCTGTCGTTGTGCAATCGACGTGTCCCATCTGCTGGTCAAATCCCGCTACATTTGTCCGGCTACAGGCGCTGATACACAACTGACAGGCTTTGGGATATAGATCGACTCCAAAGGAATACATTAACTTTGTGATAATGATCACTAACACAACGTCACTAGAGGGGATGTTTGTGATATTAACCCAAAGGCGGGTTAGCAGTCTAATCGGCTAGCGTTTTGTAACTGTGGAGTTTTTTGTTGCCTAACCGGCCGGCGTTTTGCAGTTGTCAAAAATGTTGTGTGAGTGTGTGTGTGTGTGTGTGTTTGTATAATACGCTGACGGAAAGCCACGGTTGCATATGCCTGGCTGCTGGTCCGAAGGGGTTGGGTTCGAATTCGCATTGCGATAGCTTTTTATAATTGATCTAGGTTACCAGGTGGTATCACCGTGTCTGGATAGCGGGCTGTAACTAGGAGGTTGAGGTGGGAAGAATGACGTCCACATTGCCCACTGAGTGCCAGTTAGCCAATTAATTACAAAAATATTTTTTTTAAATTGGATTTTTCCCCCTTAAGTGAGCTGGCCTACAAGGTTTGCTCAAGAGAGATGGTCTACGAGGTCGAGAGGTTTGTACACGTGAGCTGGCCTACAAGGTTTGCTCAAGAGAGATGGTTTACGAGGTCGAGAGGTTTGTACAAGTGAGCTGGCCTACGAGGTGAAGAGGTCTGCCCAAGTGTGTTGGTCTACGAGGTTGAGAGATTTGCTCAAGTGAGCTGGCCTACGAGGTCGTAAGGTTTGGCCAAGTGAGCTGGTCCTCGAGGTCGTGAGGTTTGGCCAAGTGAGCTGGCCTACGAGGCCGAGAGAGTTGCTCAAGGTAGCTGGCCTACGAGGCTGAGAGATTTGCCCAAGGTAGATGGCCTACGAGGCCGACATATTTGCCCTACTGAGCTTGCCTACGAGGTTAAGAGGTTTGTCCAAGTGAGCTTGCCTACGAGGTTAAGAGGTTTGTCCAAGTGAGCTTGCCTACGAGGTTGAAAGGTTTGGCCAAGTGAACTGGCCTACGAGGTCGAGAGGTTTGCCCAAGTTATGATGGCGACGACGTGGACGACGCGGACGATGATGATGATGATGCTGAAAGCTGAATGATAGATAAACTAAAAGACAATGTTCCACATCTCTACACTCGCAGAACATAACAACATTTCCCCTTCACCAAACTGATACACGATTTCAGTTAGGTCATATACATTAACATAACAAGCTAACGCATAATCCCATCTAATTATGTATGCTAATGAAGATTTCGTCAAGTATCTGCGTTTCAAAGTATTCAAAGCATAAATGATCAAGCAAGGGAGATTATCTTGCTGTCTGCAACACATCTAACATCGTTTGCGGGATTGTAGCGGATTTGAGGATGTCTGAGTGATGGAGCCGGTGGGGATATTCAGCCAGCTGATGCCAAGGGCGACTATTCAACATCCGAACCAACTTTCACGCATTTTGTTGTTAGTAGTCTTGGCTGTCGGTATGGTGGGCTCTTGGCGCCGAAACATGGAGGGCAGGTATCCTGAGCGCCTCCTCACAACAACAAACAACAAGCCGACCACCCATTTTTTGTGTGCTTTTGTTTTGTTTTGTTTGTTAGGGTGGTAAGTCAAAAAGAGCAACCCTGATGTCTTGAAAGAAGCGAGGGCTTGAAGACAACTTAATGGCAAAAGACACAATATGACTAGTCATCACCTTGTGAGATGCAATCTTTCGTTATTTGAAGCCCCACCTGACTCTTGCCAGGGGCCGCAACATAGCCCGGCCATAAATATGGTCAAATGGCTGGACGCGGTTTCTGGGACCTCCCGACCGTGATCCTCATCCACATGGTGACACCTTGTGTCATCGGGTGTTTATCACTTGTGTAATGTCCCAGTGGGGTAAAATGTACTACTACTATACTACTACCACATCAGAAAGAGTCATAATTTTTTTATCATGTTACGAGAAGAAGAGAAATCGGAAGCATGTTCTGACCACTGGAAAGATCTGTAGAGGAAGAAACGTAAGAAAATTCTTGACAGTTTTTTTTTTTTTTTTTGGTCAAGGCACGAACTGAAACATGCAGATTGAGGAGAGACACGATCGCCTTGGCCAGTCGGCAACGCACTTGATGATGACGATGAAGTGCCTCACTCCTCCAAAGTTTGATCCATGTTGCTTAACGCTCCCACCCTTTTTCCCTCTGGCCCCCTTTTCTCTCTCATTTTGGGAAACATTGATCTAGCACAATGACTGGATCATGAAAAACGAGTCTCTTCACTGCCCTAGCCACAAAATTTAAATATTTGATTGATGTTTTCTGCGGGATATGCACGTGCATTGGAAACCAGCAGTCAAGCAGACTGGCTCGTTGTACACCGCTAGGTGATGAGCAGATGCCTGACAAGCTAAAACCCTTGACAAGCAAATGAAAAATGCGGAAGCACAAATAGATTTTCATAGTCGGGAGATTAATAGTTCACCGTACGGGACTAAGGGATCGATCTGACCGGCACCCCACACTCAGAACTGATGCAGGACTGACATATAAACAAAATTATTCTGCTTAGATCGGAACTAGAACTAGCATGGTGACTTTGGGGAATGAATGCTTATGGAAATATCCCGAGTAGGCACTTTACTATTATCCTACCCCAGATGACGTCACCGGACAGTCCAACATTTTAGAGGGTGGTAAGACTGGGTTTCCCGGCTTTCAGATGCTTTTAACGACTTCAAAACATCTAGAACTGGCCCTAACCCAAACCCACCTACGTCCCACGAGAGAGTGCAGCCTAGGTCCCACAACTGCATGCAGCCTAGGTCCCACAACTGCATGCAGCATAGGTCCCACAACTGCATGCAGCATGGGTCCCACAACTGCATGTAGCATAGGTCCCACAACTGCATGCAGCCTAGGGCCCACAACTGCATGCAGCCTAGGTCCCACAACTGCATGCAGCCTAGGTCCCACAACTGCATGCAGCCTAGGTCCTACGACTGCATGCAGCCTAGGTCCCACGACTGCATGCAGCCTAGGTCCCACAACTGCATGCAGCCTAGGTCCCACA